TAATATGCCACTTTTTCGGAACATAACTATCGTGTTATACGAGAGATGCCTATATATATTGAAATTTTATATATGCACGAATATTGTTCATTTTCTCTTTCTCTTTTTCTGGTATTTCGTATTTAGAATAATTAGTTAATTGTTATTTTTTGGCACAAGAGTCTGTTAAGTTAAACTGACTAATCGTAATTTAAAATAATAAATTAATATAAAAAATAAGATATTAAAGTAAAAGGAACAAGTTAATGACAAACGAGGTATGAATATATGCACTGTACAAGTGTAAGAATATAAGAATAATTTTAGATCTATTTGCGCGCGCAATATACATATACAGTACATACACATTTACATACGTGCAACATACAGTACTGTACAGTACATATATATAAGAATTAATAGAGATTAGGGTCTTGCCCACTTACACTTTTTGAGCTTTTAGTAGGCCTATATTAAAAAATTGCCCCCAAAAATTGTATTACATTTTAAAAATAAAATTTAAAGGTTTTTTTCCTTGATGCACAAGAAATGAAATCGGTGAATAATTTTGTAACAAATGTTTTTATGTCCCATAATTGAGACCAATGTATGTTTTGTGTAATACATTTGTACTATCTAAAAGTTAAATTTCGAAAATTTGTCAAGACTTATTTACTTTTTAATTGGTTGGTTTGGCTTAATGGTATAAGACAACGCAATACATTGGCGATCTGCCAAGGAGAGTACTTCCCGGGAGGACTTTCTGTGAGAAACTGATCCCTATTTAGGCATTTGATACACGAAGAAAACCCAGAAAACCACGTGGCCAGCCCCGTGAGGTTCGAACTCACGACCAACTTCTAGTATTTACTAGTTTTATCTACTGAACCACAGGAGCACTTATTTTTAATTTTATTTTTGTAGTGGGCATTTGCTTATAAATAATTTAATATATTTAGTAATTGAAATAAACTACGTTGTAAGTAAATTTTTAACATTATAATAGAAGGCGACGTCATAAAAAACTAAAGAATTCTGAAGATGAAAAGTATTTAGGGTAGTGAGATGAATTCTTTAGATATGAATCACGCACTTTTTTGTAGTCAGTTTTAGTAAACGATAATACTCTTTGTAGTTTGTCGAATGTTCTCAGAAAATATTAAGACATTTAAACGTAAACATTTTACGCAACGACCTAAAATACTTAGAATTTTAAATAGTGGCCGTTATTTGGTTCGACTCAATATAATCATAAACAAGTAAGAAATCATTAGAAAAAGTGTTGTATAGTGTAATAATGTATCAAAATACTACAAAATATTTTAAAAAGTAATTAATTATATTTATTATGACATTTACGTTTATATAGAAGATAAGTTACATGAAATGAAAAGTAATTAATGGTATTTGGTTCCTTCAAATGAAACATAGACTCAGAGTCCCCAATGCAAGTACGAGATTTATTTACATGCAAGGATTTACAGACAGTACACTCGCCGCAGAGCCCTAATAATCTAAAAATATACGCTCCCTCCCTCCGTACGGTGGCGCCCTATCTCCCTCAATATAACTTTAGTGTTGCCACTACAGTCTATTTTTTAATTGTGGAATTAAATATTAGTAATTATTATTTATCGAATATATAGTAAAGTTCTTGCTATTATATTAAACGACAAAATTTTAAAATCTATATGTATTCCAACGTCTCTGCCGCACCTTTACTTTCCAGCGCTCTCTTAAGTCTTCTACCACTCCCAATAGGGCAGTAGCGTCCACTCTGGGAATCACTGCTGTAAACAAATGAACCATAGCTGTAACATCGTATAGTTATTTTGGTAGTATCCAAACTATAAGCTATCCTTGATGGTTCCTCAAATATATTTATAGAAGAAATTTTAATTTTCAATGTTTTACTGAAAATAGCGAAACATACAAAATTTCTAAACTGTACAGTACCCAATCTACACACACAAAGGTTTACTACAGTAGATTTTCAGTTAACCGATACAGATGGGGATTGGTAGATGCCGGATAAATGTAGTTTCTGATTGCTTGAGAGTTACTATTAAAAATAGACCTAACTAATATTATACCCTATACTATACCACACCATACCATAAACTCTGTATTGAATTGATTGTTATTAATACTCAAATACAGTAATTAAAAGCCATTTAAAAGAAATAAAGATAAACTTGAGTTGAGTGAGAACACAATTTGAATAACAATAGATCCCAACCTCTTACTGTACTCTTATGACAGTACAGAAATTCGATATGATTATTATATAATATAATTAGATTACACATCTTACATACTTTACTACTACTTTAATACTTTAACTTATGTAGAATATATATATATATAAAGCGTAGAAATATTTAATTTTCAGAAATTTATTCTTTTGTATTTTAACCTTCATCCATTAGGAAACTATATCCGAGAATTCTGTAGATCGGGAGTTATTAACTGTGAATCCTTTTAGCAGTTCTGGTGAATCATTTCTCAGATAATGATTTTAATGCGTAACATTAAATACAAAGAAACCAATTTTGTTGAAATACACTGTCCAAATATTAATGTTTGATATACTGTATTATTAATAATATAGATCTTTGTGCTTCTTTATTAAATCATTAAATAACAATAGCTAGCAGTTAGCGAAAATAAAAATGTAATTTTTTCTGATCTAAATTCATCAACTTTTTAAAATCTAGGTTTTAGGGGTATAAGCATAGGTTTCATAGGGGTCCGTAGATAGATTTTAGGCAGGAGTAACAGACTCCATGGACCCAATGGATCCGAGGAATCTGTGTTCTCCTGTTTTCAAAATTAATATATTTTTTAAAGTTTTGATTAAGTTTATAATTTATATAATCTACCACTATGTATTCTTAATAAATCTGAATTGTGACTGGAATTAGTATTACGCTTTCATTTGATATAACCTTATTACTTCAGCTTATTTTTATTGTTTATTTTAAATTTAAAAAATTCAAAAGTCGTCAATAATGCATGAATTACATTCGTACTGTTGTTCTGAATAAATTTTATACGTTTGCAAAAATAACGATTAACTTAGAGGATGCCTTAATAAATTGGTAATCGTTGATTATATACGGTTTAAACTAAGGCATGATTCATACTTAAACTATAAACCTAGCACTAATAAATGTAAGGTATGTTTAGACTTTAGAGCAATTCTAATACTAATCTGAAGTTTAAAATACTGACATTTACTGATTCAGAAATGAGATTGTATTCACTGAATTTTAAAAATATTTTTCATACTTAAAAAAATTCCTAGATAAACTACTTTTTTGTTACCCAATGGAAACGTTTCCTGTCATGTGTTTAATCTAAAAACGCCAAAGAAGTACTCAAAAGTGCCGCGTAACACAAGTTTACGAACCTGAAAATGACCGATCGGTTCCGTAAAGTCTGCTTCCGTATAAATCTTATTTCCTGTTAAGTGTTTCGTAAAGTAGGGTGTAAATCATTACACCTACTTTACAAAATATCTTTTCAAGTAAAATAGAACAGATTAAGTTGAATTTATTAAATTATAGGAGGATTAATTGAGAATGCACTTAGTAAAATATAAGATTTATGTTTTTAATTCAGACAATGAGGAATGTTCAGTTGTTAATAAAGGAAAATGATCGTGAAGTTTTCATAATTAATACGTTAACAATGCTTTTTCATTTAATTGTGTTTTATGATAGAACTATTTCAATAATACTGTATATAAAACTTTAATTTAATTCTATTTTAAAAGTAAAGAATATTAAATTACAGGTGTTTAATATAATAAATTTAAACAATAGTTTGAAATTTATTATGTTAAACTTAATTTCAAGCGTACGAATTGCAAGCAAGAGGCAATTTTCCTCCCAAATTTGGGTAAAGAAAGAAGAAGGAAAAAAAATCAGACAGAAAAAGTAAAAAATTATCACTACTTGTGTTTTCATTTGTATAAAATTTAGAGAAAAATCATCCCTTTCTTCCCCCTTAACCAAAGTAACCCCAAACATCTATGCTTGACATAGAATTAGTATAGAAATTACATCTTATTCTCAAGCAAAGACTTTCTGAAGTTTAAAAATGTATTACATGTTAATTANGACAATGAGGAATGTTCAGTTGTTAATAAAGGAAAATGATCGTGAAGTTTTCATAATTAATACGTTAACAATGCTTTTTCATTTAATTGTGTTTTATGATAGAACTATTTCAATAATACTGTATATAAAACTTTAATTTAATTCTATTTTAAAAGTAAAGAATATTAAATTACAGGTGTTTAATATAATAAATTTAAACAATAGTTTGAAATTTATTATGTTAAACTTAATTTCAAGCGTACGAATTGCAAGCAAGAGGCAATTTTCCTCCCAAATTTGGGTAAAGAAAGAAGAAGGAAAAAAATCAGACAGAAAAAGTAAAAAATTATCACTACTTGTGTTTTTCATTTGTATAAAATTTAGAGAAAAATCATCCCTTTCTTCCCCCTTAACCAAAGTAACCCCAAACATCTATGCTTGACATAGAATTAGTATAGAAATTACATCTTATTCTCAAGCAAAGACTTTCTGAAGTTTAAAAATGTATTACATGTTAATTATATTATTTAAAACCAAATTTTATGTGCAAGTTCTTACTCAATATTGAAAATTCTAAAATATTTTACTTTGTATTATTACTTCTTTATATAACTGCATTTTTCGACGTTTCTAGGTCCCCTGAGTCCAAAAAATGTAAAAATCTTGGGGTGGGTCATTTTTTTTGACCGATCGCCATCAGTACTTCTTGTTATGTAAGTAACAGCCGGGAAAATAAAAATGTACTGTACAGTGGTTTACAGTAAATGAGTTCCCTGTTAATATCAGTTTTAGTTACGCTACTGTTACGTATTTACTTTATTATTTATGAAAGATTCCAGACTCCAGGACATATACACTTAACTCAAGCTTTTACATTTTTAATATTAAACTTTGTTTTAGTTTTTTTTTCTGTTATAGCACTTGCAAGCAAAAAACTCCGACAGTTTATGAATTCGTTTGTGAACAAAACGTTTGCTTGGTGAGACCAGAACTTATTAAAGAAGTAAATAGTGGAAATTATGGGTAAATATGGTTCCAATATTGTGTAATTTATAATTTATGTATGGGAAATCAATAATTGTTTATTTTTCTAGATGGAGAGCATCAAATTATTCCTTCTTTTGGGGGAAAACGTTGGAAGAAGGAATTCGCTACAGATTAGGAACCTTTAAACCAACTCGTCCTGTAAGTATTTTTCGACTTGCTCTCAAAATATACTAAAATAGTTACTTACAATATTCATTTATTCAGACGATGGCCATGCACGAGATCAATATTAAAATGAAAGATAGACTTCCGGAACATTTCGATGCTCGACAACATTGGCCTGGACTCATTCACGATATTAGAGACCAAGGAGAATGTGGTGCTTCTTGGGCCTTTTCTACTACGGGTATCGTTAGTTTTTTTTTTTTAATTTTTAAAGTATTAATTAAAATATTCTCTTCATACATGTGTAATTAATATAAATAATGATTTATATTTATACTCATGCACTTTTTATATGCTTTACTAGCTCTTGCATCAGACCGACTTGCTATTCAATCTATGGGAAGAGAGAAAATTTCGTTATCCCCGCAACAGTTAATTTCTTGCCAAAATAGAGCTCAGAAAGGGTGCCATGGTGGGCATTTAGACAGAGCTTGGTGGTATTTAAAGAAACGAGGGTAAGAATTTAGAACAGTTTAAAAATATTCTTTTAAATTTCACCAAATATCTAACAAATAAAATTAAATATTTCATAGTGTGGTAAGTGAAGAATGTTATCCTTATAAAAGTGGTTTTACTAAAGACGAAGGTTTATGTTCGGTCCGAAAAGCGAGAGGGAGACATGGTCATATAGGATGTCCGAATGGGAGAGAAGAAAGTGTTCGACAATCTACTCCCCCATACAGAGTTGGGCCAAGGGTAAATTAAGTTTCTGATATAGCCTACAGCTATTCACGATACGATTATTTAAATTATTTTATGTATTTCAGGAAGAGGAAATAATGCAAGAAATTTATAACAACGGACCAGTACAAGGTACTTTCTCGTATATATGTTTTATTACACCATATTCTGAAAGTTATTATTTATGTTTGGAGATAAAAATTACTTTAAATTCTTATTATACAAATATTTAATTATCGAAATTTTCAAGATATATTATAAATGACATAGTTTTTATTCCTTAATTATAATATTGTAGATACTAGAGGAGAATCGTGAATTTGCGGAGATCAGGGTAGTATATGTAGGCTATATAATTGTGTACGGTTTAACATGCACTGATGAATAAAATAGTGATATATATCTTTAAATTTAAAATCTTACTATTAGCTTATTTAAATTTTAGTTCTTTCGTTGATTTTTATTGGGCTGCAATTAAAAAAAACGTAGACCTATAAATTTCCACTGTCGTCCGTCTGCCTATCTTCCTTAATCTCGCGAACGGAGTTAGATAGATGAAAATCGAGACGAGATATGAAAAGCTGAGGGGCAGGAAGAACTATATAAGAACTCCACCTTCAAATTAGTAGTGTCTTGCCCCTGTACATTATACCGTTATCAATGGAGTCGTGCCGGTCATCTATCTAACAGCTTTCAGGGGAAATTTTTGAATTGAAATAATATGACTTCCGATTTGCATAGGAAATTCACATATGGAAATTTCAGGGCTTCCTGCTCCTAACGTTTCCATATCTGGTCTCGTCTCTCATCTATCTAACTCCGTTCTCGAGATTAAGGAAAGACGGACGACAGTGGGGATTTATAGGTCTACAATTTTTTCTACAATTGTATATGCATATAATTGTGTTTTTGTGAGTATGTTAAAATAAACTGGCAACGAGTTGCTCAACTTTCTAGGCAACATTTAAAATTTTGGTGGCGCCATCTGTTATCATATTTTATTTAAAAACTTTCTATATTTTTAAGTATTATAAAATGGCAAAAAGCTTAATTTTGAGGATAGGGATGAGTTTCATAAAAAATTGTAAATGCTAATAACGAGTAAAATTGTCATTAAGTCCCGCCCTACTGGAGATATACACGGTCCCTATTATCTCCTCACCTCGGTGACTTTTAACTACCAACATTTACTAGCATCAATCCCTCTAATAAGCAAACCTCTCTGAAAAATTTTCAGATAATTTTGACAAAAATCACAGGAATTATTAAGCTTCAATCAGGGTGAACAAAAACATCTATACATACAGAAATTATCTCCGATATTTTTTTTTTTTTTTTTTTTTTTTTTGCATTTCTCGACGTTTCAAGTTGTTCTAAATTCAAAAATGTAGAAATCTTCAGGGGGGGTTCATTTTTTTGACTGATNATTCATAATAATCTAAATAAATCATCATTAAGTTAGCTTTCTTATAAATACTATTGTTTCAAAATTGTAGATTTTTAGGCAGACTACATATTTATTTTTTATGTATAAAAAATATCAAAACGAACAGACGGATTCTTTTATTGGGCTGTTAAGGCCAAGTAATTACTAAGTAGTTTGGCTGTTATACCTGCCTCCATATCAAATTACATTATTATATATAGAAGTATCCCTCGTACAATATGGTTCGAAAATAGGGATATTACCTGTAAACACGATTTCGTTTTAACACGGTTCGAGAATTTCACAAGTGTAAACTACTTTATTTTATATATATATATATATATTTTATTCAAGTAAGCATGCGTATTATGTTAAATTTGCCCACGGATTTTAGAATATTAAAAATTTTCAATTTGTTTTGTGTCTTTTATAAGGTTTACTTTAATGAAAACTGATAGTGCAATTTTCTTCTTCCTTGTCTTAGCTTTCCTATCAACCATGTGTTATTATCGATGCTTTTATTTTTATGACTGTCACTGCATTTTATTTTTATAGATTAATTTTCATATTTAGTAAAGTTTATTTGAACATTTTTAGGTTAGTAGTTTAGTTATTAACCTTTTTAAAGCATAGGTAAGTAATCATTCGTAAAAATGACGAACGAAATACAGCTGTATCTCGGTAATCGAACAGTTTCCAACTGGAACAATTCGGTATTCGAACACAAATTCTGGAAAAAATCGCTCTGTACTCGACTGAACAAACCAATCCGCTAAAACAAATTTTCGATTTATAACATTTTTATTTTTTATTTTGTCGTTCATAAAAAAATTTTAATGATAAAAAAGTATGAAAATGTTGTTGATGTTTCTGATGAAGATCAACAAAGCTCAGAATACGATAAAACTTTGTAAAAAGAAAACGTCCTCCTTTAACTAAAATTAATATTAACGTGTCATACAGTACTTTTAGTTAATTATTGATTGGAAATAAATTATTGACTGCTTTAATAAACGTATTTCTCTTAGTAACGAAAAAGAATAGTATAGGGAAGATCGGGGCAAGATCGGCATGTTAAGCTTTACTTAAATTTTGTGTAATAAATACTGCTGTAAACTGAAAAAAAAGCTTTGCATATTGTCTATTGGAATGTTACCTTACTATAGAACTGGTTAAAATCAGTTTGGAAATAAAAATAATTAAAATAATTACAACTTTACAAGAAGAGAGAAATTGACGAAGTTGCCNTTTTTTTTTTTTTTTTTTTTTTTTTTTTTTTTTTTTTTTTTTTTTTTTTTTTTTTTTTTTTTTTTTTTTTTTTTTTTTTTTTTTTTTTTTTTTTTTTTTTTTTTTTTTTTTTTTTTTTTTTTTTTTTTTTTTTTTTTTTTTTTTTTTTTTTTTTTTTTTTTTTTTTTTTTTTTTTTTTTTTTTTTTTTTTTTTTTTTTTTTTTTTTTTTTTTTTTTTTTTTTTTTTTTTTTTTTTTTTTTTTTTTTTTTTTTTTTTTTTTTTTTTTTTTTTTTTTTTTTTTTTTTTTTTTTTTTTTTTTTTTTTTTTTTTTTTTTTTTTTTTTTTTTTTTTTTTTTTTTTTTTTTTTTTTTTTTTTTTTTTTTTTTTTTTTTTTTTTTTTTTTTTTTTTTTTTTTTTTTTTTTTTTTTTTTTTTTTTTTTTTTTTTTTTTTTTTTTTTTTTTTTTTTTTTTTTTTTTTTTTTTTTTTTTTTTTTTTTTTTTTTTTTTTTTTTTTTTTTTTTTTTTTTTTTTTTTTTTTTTTTTTTTTTTTTTTTTTTTTTTTTTTTTTTTTTTTTTTTTTTTTTTTTTTTTTTTTTTTTTTTTTTTTTTTTTTTTTTTTTTTTTTTTTTTTTTTTTTTTTTTTTTTTTTTTTTTTTTTTTTTTTTTTTTTTTTTTTTTTTTTTTTTTTTTTTTTTTTTTTTTTTTTTTTTTTTTTTTTTTTTTTTTTTTTTTTTTTTTTTTTTTTTTTTTTTTTTTTTTTTTTTTTTTTTTTTTTTTTTTTTTTTTTTTTTTTTTTTTTTTTTTTTTTTTTTTTTTTTTTTTTTTTTTTTTTTTTTTTTTTTTTTTTTTTTTTTTTTTTTTTTTTTTTTTTTTTTTTTTTTTTTTTTTTTTTTTTTTTTTTTTTTTTTTTTTTTTTTTTTTTTTTTTTTTTTTTTTTTTTTTTTTTTTTTTTTTTTTTTTTTTTTTTTTTTTTTTTTTTTTTTTTTTTTTTTTTTTTTTTTTTTTTTTTTTTTTTTTTTTTTTTTTTTTTTTTTTTTTTTTTTTTTTTTTTTTTTTTTTTTTTTTTTTTTTTTTTTTTTTTTTTTTTTTTTTTTTTTTTTTTTTTTTTTTTTTTTTTTTTTTTTTTTTTTTTTTTTTTTTTTTTTTTTTTTTTTTTTTTTTTTTTTTTTTTTTTTTTTTTTTTTTTTTTTTTTTTTTTTTTTTTTTTTTTTTTTTTTTTTTTTTTTTTTTTTTTTTTTTTTTTTTTTTTTTTTTTTTTTTTTTTTTTTTTTTTTTTTTTTTTTTTTTTTTTTTTTTTTTTTTTTTTTTTTTTTTTTTTTTTTTTTTTTTTTTTTTTTTTTTTTTTTTTTTTTTTTTTTTTTTTTTTTTTTTTTTTTTTTTTTTTTTTTTTTTTTTTTTTTTTTTTTTTTTTTTTTTTTTTTTTTTTTTTTTTTTTTTTTTTTTTTTTTTTTTTTTTTTTTTTTTTTTTTTTTTTTTTTTTTTTTTTTTTTTTTTTTTTTTTTTTTTTTTTTTTTTTTTTTTTTTTTTTTTTTTTTTTTTTTTTTTTTTTTTTTTTTTTTTTTTTTTTTTTTTTTTTTTTTTTTTTTTTTTTTTTTTTTTTTTTTTTTTTTTTTTTTTTTTTTTTTTTTTTTTTTTTTTTTTTTTTTTTTTTTTTTTTTTTTTTTTTTTTTTTTTTTTTTTTTTTTTTTTTTTTTTTTTTTTTTTTTTTTTTTTTTTTTTTTTTTTTTTTTTTTTTTTTTTTTTTTTTTTTTTTTTTTTTTTTTTTTTTTTTTTTTTTTTTTTTTTTTTTTTTTTTTTTTTTTTTTTTTTTTTTTTTTTTTTTTTTTTTTTTTTTTTTTTTTTTTTTTTTTTTTTTTTTTTTTTTTTTTTTTTTTTTTTTTTTTTTTTTTTTTTTTTTTTTTTTTTTTTTTTTTTTTTTTTTTTTTTTTTTTTTTTTTTTTTTTTTTTTTTTTTTTTTTTTTTTTTTTTTTTTTTTTTTTTTTTTTTTTTTTTTTTTTTTTTTTTTTTTTTTTTTTTTTTTTTTTTTTTTTTTTTTTTTTTTTTTTTTTTTTTTTTTTTTTTTTTTTTTTTTTTTTTTTTTTTTTTTTTTTTTTTTTTTTTTTTTTTTTTTTTTTTTTTTTTTTTTTTTTTTTTTTTTTTTTTTTTTTTTTTTTTTTTTTTTTTTTTTTTTTTTTTTTTTTTTTTTTTTTTTTTTTTTTTTTTTTTTTTTTTTTTTTTTTTTTTTTTTTTTTTTTTTTTTTTTTTTTTTTTTTTTTTTTTTTTTTTTTTTTTTTTTTTTTTTTTTTTTTTTTTTTTTTTTTTTTTTTTTTTTTTTTTTTTTTTTTTTTTTTTTTTTTTTTTTTTTTTTTTTTTTTTTTTTTTTTTTTTTTTTTTTTTTTTTTTTTTTTTTTTTTTTTTTTTTTTTTTTTTTTTTTTTTTTTTTTTTTTTTTTTTTTTTTTTTTTTTTTTTTTTTTTTTTTTTTTTTTTTTTTTTTTTTT